CTTAACTTAGCATCTGACACTGTCTCTGGGAATGTCATAATTGAGTTGAATTCTCAGATATGCTACTGGTGTCTTAGAATTGGGGTGTGAAAAAATCTAAGGAGACATCTATACGAACGTAATTTAATATAACATTATATATAATAATAGCATGCATTTTTGAACTGTCGGTCAGTGTATCTGGGCTATATTTACACATCCCTGGGTTTCAATTTTTTAATAAATATACAGTGGGTGGCGGGAACATCAAATTATTTGATATCTAGGCTTTTTTCTAGCTCTACATTTCTGTGATTCCATTGTTATAAATGATTGTGATCATATTATAGAAGTATAAAAGCAGGGAAAGCTTTTTAAGGGTAAAGGAAAACTGAGGAAACATGTGAACTGCTGTTTAAAAGATACATATATTTTATTTACTATATAGATTATTTTCACTAAGCAAAGGTAAAAGCTTTTTTTTTAGCTATTATTTATTGTAACATCTTTCTTTAGCCCTGTCTTTAGACATATAGCAACTGCTCCACCTGAATCATCTCCTGCAAATGATATGAATTTAGAGGATGAATTTATAATTGATGAATCAGATAGTTTTGCCAGTCGGTCTTGGATTACTATACCAAGAAAGGCTGTGCCTCACAAACATCACACGATATCCCCTCCTGAGAGCACTGCACTCCTTCAAAGTAAGAAGTCAAGAGAAGAACATCACAATTTAACAACTACAGCTTTGACAAATGACAAACATTCTGGCAAAGCTCATCCAGTAGAGAAATCTCAGCCCTCTAATCAAAGAAAACTGGGTAGGAATTGTACTTTGGCAGATGAAGGGGAAAATAATTATAAATCTACAAAAAATGAAATGTATTCTAAAAATGCAGAAAAATCACCTGGAAACAAAAGGACTATAAAGCAAAAACAAAAAAAAGTTAAGGCCAATGTAGTTGAAGAAGAGGTTGATGTGGAACAAGCTAAAGATAAAAGTATCAATATGTCATGTATTGCCCAAGACAAGTCACAGAGAAATTCAGACAGAAGTATGAAAGCATGTAAAGAGAAGAGAAATGTCCATATTTCCAAAAAACAGATGCCACCTGTAGGTAAGTGTTTATATTATCTATAACTACAAACATTATTCTACTACTCTGTGTTTTTGTTATATTCCTGTTTAGCTTTGGAAAATAGGCAAAGTAAACCTAAATCTACAAAGAGCCTCAAAAGCCTATAGGTTGTTTTCTAGAATTTTATATGTAATTCAAGTCCAACTTGCTTGATTTTTGTGTAACTTCTAACATGGCAAGCACATATAAAGGGAGAAATAAGAGGGAAAGGCTAGTAAAGAGATAGTTACAGAACACAAATAAAACAGCATCATATATTCTTGAGGTTTATTTAAATATAAATTGGGGGGAAAAAACCAGGATGGTGTGGGGCTGTTTCTTGTAGGATAAAAATCCATACTCTTCTGTTCCATCATTTACTCGTTGGTCATTAAATGCCAAGCAAGGTATTAAACACTGAAATAACAAAGATTACTAAGACACAATTTTCACCATTAAAAAAGATCAATCTGGTGGGCTCTCTATACCAACAGAACACATAACGTCCATAGGATGATAATGGAAGCACAGAGAACAATTATCTTAACGAATATCTCAAGAGATCTTTTTATCTTGCGTCACTTTATCATTTACCATCCAGATTGGGACACTTGGGGGTGAAAGATGATGTCAGGGACAGTAAGCATAAATGGGATTGTCCCAGAAAAACCTGAAGTATGGCCACCCTCATGTCATTATTGTATAGTGATTGAGGTTTTTAGTGATGACACTGTCATGAAGAATAGATCAATTTCTCTTCTTTGTACCACTTTTGTTTTTTTTTAAATGTATCTTTATTGATTTCAGGGAGAGGAAAGAGAGGGAGAGAGAGAGATAGAAACATCAGCGATGAGAGAGTCATTGATTGGCTGCCTTCTGCATACCCCCCACTGGGGATCGAGCCCGAAACCTGGGCATGTGCCCTGACTGGGAACTGAACCTTGATCTCCTGGTTCATGGGTTGCTGCTGAGTCTCCAAGCCACACCAGCCAGGCAGTATGTAAGAGAGAAAAGGTAGTTGTTTTTATAGAAGGAATTTTCTTCGGAATAGTGAGTGGAATAGAAAACACGTATGAACTGTACTAGACACCTTGTTGGTATGTAGTATAATTTTATCCTTGGCAGCCCTATAAGGTAGGAGGTAACACTCAAAAGACGCTAAAAAATACCGTCTCAGGACCTGTCCCATTCTAGAGTCCATGTTTTTTCAGCTATATCAAGAAGTTTTAAAATAAGAGAATGTTTTTGATGCTCAAATTGGAAAAACAGCCGACCAGAAAACTCTCTTGACCAGAACTGTATATGTCCCTGAAGGCTCTAGATGACTATACTATATTGCTGATTTAGAGGGGAGAAAGATCATATTAAGGCACAATAGTTAAGCTAGTTTTTAGAAAAACAGATTCTACTTTAATATAGTTATTATTTAATTACTTATTATTTTGGTGTTTTAAAAAATATATCTTATAACATAGGCTTTATATCACCGGAATTAATAGTTGTCAGATTTCAATTTTGTCTGTGTGTGCCTTTGTGTATTTGAAAAAATGTTCTTAAAATAGAAGGGAAAAAACCTTTTCTATTTTGTGGACCTCTTTTGTAAATGTTAGACATGTGCCACATTTTTATTGAATTGTTCTTAATTTTTTTGCTTCCTTCAGTTTCTAATTAGCAGTTGACCATTTTAAGAAAATAACGTAAAGAATCTGACTAAAGTGAGGGTGATAGTTACAAGAAAGTTTTTTTTCTTACTAGTTCCCTAAGTAGAATATGAATTCACAAAATTTGAAGCCACAAAATTTTGATTTATCCGTAATTTCTTAGGAAGAAACATATCAAGAAAGTATATTGGAAGGATATTTTCTTTAATTGTAAATGTTAAACATTTATTGAGCACCTACTATATTTTGCTCACTAACTTTCAGATGTATTAAATTCCATTTTATCTAGATTGATCAGGAAATACAACATATGATTATCATACCAATTGTATTAATTTTCTGTTGCTGTGGTAACAAATTACTACATATTTAGTAGCTTAAAACAACACGCGTTTATTATCTTGTAGTTCTGTGGGTCAGAGGGCTGAAATGGATCTCACTGAGCTAAAATCAAGGTGTTGACGTTATATTCCTTTCAGGTGGTTCTAGGAGAGAGACTGCCTTTTCTAGCCTCTTTAAGTCACCTGTATTCCTTGAATCATTGTTCCCCTTTTGCGTCTTCAAAGCTAGCAATTCCAGCCTTCCCATTTCAAATTTCTATTGCTGCTGCTTCCATCAGCCTGTCTTTCTCACTGTGTACTACTTTTAAGAACACATGTAGCCTGGCTGGGCGTGGCTCAGCGGTTGAGCATCGACCTAGGATCCAGGCGATCGGGGTTCGATTCCTGGTCAGGGCACATGCCTGGGCTGGGTTGCGGGCTCGATCAGTGACTCTCTCATCATTGATGTTTCTATCTCTCTCTCTCCCCCTCCTTTCCTCTCTCTGAAATCAATCAAAAAAAAAA